TCTCTCTCTCTCTCTCTCTCTCTCTCTCTCTCTCTCTCTCTCTCTCTCTCTCTCTCTCGAGTGTGTACCCCACCCACCTGACGTAGTTAATAGCGACTTGCGTTGTGCTGATCTTCTTGAGCTGCGGGGGCGGTGCCTGCTCTTCTCCGTCTTCTAGCGCCTCGAAGGCTCTCCTCTGTTCTTCCTTCGCCTCCTCCGCCAAGCGTCCTTCTACTCGCTTCGCCACCTTGCTCACGAAGAAAGAGAGAGACAGAAACAAATGGGAAAGTAACACAGGGTGAGCATAATTTAGGCAAAAAACATGGCGGTTTCTGAAACGAAGGAGAATATGGCTTCCTACTGTGCTTCAGTCGAGGCTGAAGCAGCAGCATAGCGAAAGCATCATCATTCCCGCCGTTTTAACTTTCGACTGCGGAGCGACAACTTACCGTGGCCAAAGCCGTGTGAACGGGAGTCACAGGCAACAGGTCCTTAAAAAGATACTTGGGAGTCCCCATCTTTCCACCAGTCGGGTTAGACGCCGTGTAAACGCCGGTTGCCAATCCCTTCGCCAGCGGGGTGTGCCCGAGAGGCACGACACCTGGCCATGAGAAAATAACAAACGGCGCGGCAGAGGAGATCAATGGCCGGGCGTATGGGGGTTCTCAAGCGCCTGAGCGAGGCGGTCATCATCAGGGAGAGTCAGATGGGCAGAGAACACGACGTCAAACGCATTACCGGAATGTGCGACTTGAGTCTTGTTTGCTTTTGGGCGTTTCGCTTGCCTGTGTCCCCAACCTACATTCTGCGGGTGACGGGGGACGAACGAACCCGCCACGGAGCGTACCAACAGAGCGTTCGCAGTTTTGACAACTGCAGGCTTAGGTCGACAATCATCGAGAGCATGAGCGCGTCCTCACGCGGCGGGGCAGCTCTTGCGTTAACCCTAAATGAGGAGCAAGATCACTCACCCAGCCTCTTGCACTCGGCGAGCGTTCCGTCTGTCTCAGCGTCTCGGTTAACCAGAGAGTACTCGAACTGGTTGGAGGCAAGGGTGATGCCGTGCTTGCCCAGCTTCTCGGAGAATTCGCGCATCTACTCGTCACGATAACACCAGTGCCCCCCCCCCCCCC